GCCGGTAGAGAAGGGAGAGTTAATAAAAGAAGAAAGGGACTAAACGGAGGCAGCGAAGAGGGAAGGGAGAGAGCAAAGGAGTAAAGGAAAGAAAAAAGAAGGAAGGAATATCTCTAGCCATGTTCACGTTTGCCTCTTCTTTGCGGCTGCAGAGACCCGGCCCTCCTCAGGGGGCCTTCTCTTTGCGTCGCGAAGGCAGTCCCCCCGCATCTTCAGGTTCCAAGAGCTCGGGGGAGAGCTGGCGACCTGGCACCTGTCGGGATGGAGTCACCCATTTGACACTTACTCTCTCCCGAAGGCAGGAACGCTCCGAGCCAGGGCAGGTGTCGGACCCAGCGTCCCGGCCTTGGCACTCTCGTCTCGGATGCGCAGCCGCCACAGCTCAGGCAGGACAAGTCCCGAAGGGTCCGCGCACGCTGCGCGGAGGAGCCCACGCCGCCAACGTAGCATTGACAGCCGTGGGGCCCGCCGAGGTGTGGGTGTGAAATGGACCCGGCTCCTCCGCAGGAGGGGCCCCGGGGCTGCGCAGCGTCGGGCCGAATCGCCCTGAGTCCCAGGGGGCACCAAGAACCGATTTTTAATGGATCAAAACAGTTATTGACTACCTGTGGATATTTTAAAAAGCACACTTCTAAATAAAATAACATTTTTTAAAGTCAACAATTCCAGAGGAAAAAAACTTGCAAATTACTTGAAGAGGGAGAATCTGCACAGGCGAGGGAGGGGTGTGTCTGAAGACGCTCGTCCCAAACGCGATCCGAGCCCGGAGCTCACGGGCGTTTGAAATGATTCACAACGAAAAGTCCACAGTGGACTCCAAACTCCGGGGCGGGAAGGCGCCGCAGACTCCCGCTTTCACAACGCGAAGGTTCCAGAGCGGTCCCGGGGAGCTTCGGCCTGCGAATGTCGGGAGTGGGTAGTTTTATCACCCAGAGAAATCCTGTTTTGAAAGCGAGACAAGAGTCTTCGACCATCGTCGCAAGCTCCCAAGCAACCACGGGGCGCGGGCCGCGAGCCGGGCGGCCCCTCGGGGCCGGGTCGAGGCGGCTTCGGCCGCGGGCTGCTCACGGAGACCGACGCGCCGGCGGGCCCTGCAGCCGGTCACCGCCGCGCGAACCGAAGGCCGCCGGAAAGAAAGGGGGAGGAGGACGAGCTTCGTCCCGGACGCCGAGGCCGCGGCGGGGCGCGGGAGTGCCCGGGGCCGGGGGGGCCGGGCCCGTCGGGCTCGGCTTCCCCGTCCATCGGCCCGCGGTGGTGGAGGTGGCGGGACTCCCCGCGGGCAGCGGCTGGACGGCCGCGGTCTCAGGGGAGCCCCTCGATCCAGAAGAAACCTCCCCTCCATTCCCGCCCCGACTGCATTTTGCCAAGTAAACACAAACCCGAGGCAGCCAGGAGAGGAGACTGGAAAACGGCGAGGGTCGGCGCGGGCACTGGCAGCAGCCAGGGCGCAGGCGAATCGCCCGGAACCGGCCCCCGCCCCGCTGCGCCCGCCCCTCCGGACTCCAACTCCGCGTCGGTACCGGGGCTCGGGCTCCCGCCTCCCCGCCGCCCCCCCGTAGACTCCGGAGCCCCCTCGGCGGTGCCGGAGGGAGCGCGAGGCCGCCCGGAGAGGGGAGGGTCTGGCACCTGCGCCCGGGCGCGGAGAGGTTGGGTTAGGGAGGGAGGTCCCCCCTGTCGTCACCTTCGCTGCGAGGCTCCGGGGCAGAAGCCGAGAAGCGGTGGGGAGGGAGCCCACCCGGCGTCCGGGCGGCGCCGGGCCTCCTGCTGCCGAAGCCCCCGGTGGCGGCCGCGGGAACGGGCGGGTGGCCTCGGGCGCTGAAGTCACCTTTTCCACAGCACCCGCTGCGAGCGGACGGTTTCCGGGATTTTCGCGGCGGCGGCAGGAGGCCCGGAGGGTCGCGGGCGTCGGGCGGGGTGGCTTCGCCCCTGGGATGAGTCTGCTGGGCTGGGATCGCGTGGGGGTCCGGAGGCCGCCCCGACCGGGGGCTTCCCTTCTTTGGGCCTCCATTCTCGGCGGAATAGACCCCACTCTGAGAAAACCCTGCCCGGCACCAACGCGGCAATTCCCGGAGAAAAGGAGGCTGTTTGTGTGCACTTTTTCGCCTAAAAGGGGTTTGTTTCTTTGCGCGTGGGTCTGCTTTTGAATGGCGCTGCGGGGAGACTGCGTCCGGAGGAGGTGATCGGAGGCCTACCCGCCGAGGCGGGTGCCTGGGGGTCCGACAAGGTGGAGGCCGGGCTCCCTCAGTCCTAGGGGCCTGCCAAGGCCTGCCACGCATTCCCCCAAAGAACCCCGGGGCCTCATTCCCTGGGGCCGCCCCTCCACTCAGGATTCTCCTGGCCCTTGTTCAAGGTCAGGGGGCAGGGGTGGGGTCACTGGGCAAGCCCCTGAGCCTGTGAAAGGGGCGGCTGGACTGCACTAGTCTTCGGACTCTTCCAAAGCTAGAGGTGAGGCCTCGGTTCTAAAAGTGACTTACCCCTAAATCTGAGTTACCCCAGGTACAAAACAGGTTTGGTAAGGGCTGATCAATGTGATCCCCAAGCCCTCCTATCGGATCTGAGCCCCTGCATGGGGCAGAGATATTTCAGAGCTGGCAGTTTAGGGCAGTGGTCCAGATAAGAAGTGAAGGGATGGAGCAGAGTGTTTGGGCCTGACCCTCCAATGATGCTACCATCCCCAGGCTATTTCCTTGGGAAGATGTGGAAGCAAGAAGAGAAGGACACATTGGGTAGGCTCTCCTGGATGCAGGGTGTGTGTGTGTGTGTGTGTGTGTGTGTGTGTGTGTGTGTGTGTGTGAAAATGGGTCCCATACTATATTTACAGGAAGCAAGAGAAAACCAGCTCTACTCCCTGTGGTCCTTGGGCCATTGCCTCCTCTCTGCTGGGCCTCAGTTTCCCCATCTGAGAAAGTAAGTAGTTATAGAGGGTGACAAACACAGCATCCATCTAGGGAGAGGTTCTCTGTGTCTACACCTGTGGAGGGGTCCCAGCTGGGCTACACAGGGCTCCAAGAAACACTGGCTTTTCTGTTTGCCTGGCTGGCTCTATCCAGTTTCTCCACCTCTCACTGAGAGGGAGGCCTGCCTTGTGTGGGACACCATCACTCTTAGTGGGGTCCCACACCATCCTCTTCTGAAGAGCCCAGTGACTCACAGTACCATGCATGGGTGCAGAACCTGGAGGCCACCTTTCTGTGCTGATGACGACTGTGAGATTCAGGAAGGGGCAGCCGCAGTGGAAGTCTCTCAACCACTGTGGGGAGAGGCAGCTGTACTCTTAGGGTCCTAGCCTTGCCAGAGCCTCTGGTAAGATAGTCTCTTTGTCCCTATGGACAAAGAATCTCAGTCATTTCCTACTCCACACAAAGTCTGGGGCAGGTGCTAGGACTGGGGCCAGACTGAGGATCTCCCTGACAGCAGCTGGAGCTACAGAAACCGCATCACCTTGAGGTGGGGCAGGGCCTTGGGTACGGTAGGCTCTATTTCCACCAAAGTGACCATTGAAAACCCAGGCCAAGCTCACGCAAGAAGGAGAAGTGACCCAGGATCCCAGGTGTGGAACTCCTCAGGGGCGGCAGGCACCCTCCCTTAGCCTCCAGGGGTCACATCCCCATCCACCTTCCCCTGACCCTCCTTGCCCTGGTGAATGAACTATGTATCTCTCTCCAGCAGAGGCTGTGAGGACCCCCACTCGGTCCTCACAACCTGACTGGAGCCAAGTGTCAGCATCTTCTTCAGACAGGTCAGGGCACTGAGGCCCAGAACAGGACAGTGGCCTCTCCTGAGTGGCAGGGGCAAAGAGAGAAGCTTAGAAGAGAGATGAGGTCTTGGGGTTCTCCCCACGACTAGAGCTTATATGCCTGCAGTGATGAGAAGGTGCTAGAGAAGGCTACAGCCTTCCTCAACTTTAATAAGGCTCCAATGCTCAGAAAAGGTGGAATGTAGCCTTTTCCTTTCCTCTTATCCATCCCTTCCTCTGTCTACGGGGATGGGATACAACCCACCCGTTTCCTGGGATTGCCAAGGACGATGTGTCCAGGAACCATTTGACAATATAAGCAGATTGAGGCTGGAGAAACTTTTTCTCTCAGGACAGCTGCGGGAGGGGAGAAGGGAAATGAAGCCGTGGCTGATAAACTGAGGCAGGAGTGTACAGGTACAGCCTCTGCTCTACCAGTTGCACCCCTGCCCACTGTGTCACCTTTGCCAGCAGGCACCCTGGCCGGGAGGCTGCACACCACCACCCTTTGCCCAGCCAAGCCAAGCGGCTTTTGCCTCTTTCCCTCGCGACCTCCTCCGGCTGCTTTAACCCCAGCACAGGCTGCTCCCTTTCCTAGCTGTCCCCTCTTTCTTTAATGCACCCTTTTTCTGCCCTGCTTTGCTTATGTGCCCGCCGGCACGTCACGGCCCGGTTGGCTCCAGCGCCTCTGTTGGTCTCTCTTTGCGCACGGCTAGACGTCCCTGGCACCCTCACATCCCCGTCTCGCATCTTGGGTGGCCCTTGCTGTCTCGCTTTGGCCCCTCTCTCACCTCTCTCGATTCCTTTGCTCCCTTCTTTGGGGGTCTCCTCGCCCGATCTCTCCTGCTCTCTCCTTCCTGGGTGTGCGCTCCGCTGGGTCTTCCTTGGTCTGGGTCCACAAGCCCTTCTCGAGGCCCCCTCCCTCCCGCCTTCCTCCCTTCTCCGGCCCTCCCTCGGGCTCAGCCTTGGGTGGGATGGGGTGGGGGGCGGCTGGCCGCGCTGGGCGGGGCGGCAGGGCGGGGCGGGGCGGTGACGCGAAGCCAGCGGAGCTAGAGGCGCAGCGGCGCTGGGCGGGGGCACAGTCCCGGGTCCGACCGGCGGAGCCCTGCGAGCCCCGCCCGCGCCCTGTGCCTCCGCCCGGCCAGCTGGCGGGGGAGGGGGCATGAGCCGGCACCCGCGCGCCGCCCGGAGCTGCGGGCCGGCCTAGAGCCCTGTGCGGGCCCTGCGCCCGAGCCACCGCTGCCGCTGAGCTGCGGGAGCCGCGATGCAGCGGCCCGGGGAACCGGGAGCTGCGCGCTTCGGGCCGCCCGAGGGCTGCGTCGACCACAGGCCGCACCGCTACCGCAGCTTCATGATAGAGGAGATCCTCACTGAGCCACCGGGGCCCAAGGGCGCCGCACCCGCCGCCGCTGCCGCCGCCGCGGGCGAGCTTCTCAAGTTCGGCGTCCAGGCGCTACTGGCCGCGCGGCCCTTCCACAGCCACCTGGGTACGTGCGGGCCCTCGGGTGCCTGCGGCTGGGAGGGAGGGGGCGAGCCTCGGCGTCGTGAGGACGCACCGTGGACTCCAGGTTGTTCTCTCGCGCCCGGCCGGGAGGCGGAGAGGCGGGAGCAAGCCTGGCGTTACGAGAACCAGGCCTCGTGCCCGGACCGGGCCGGCGGGGAGGGTGTTTGCTCTCTCCTTCTCTGCTGCCCTGCGGCCTCCAGCCCTGCGCACCGAGCCCGTATTCCCAACGCGGGCATAGGTCTGGACTGCTAACCTCGGGCTGCGAGTCAGAGCGACCTCAGGCCGCGGGTGCTTAGGCCTTCGCCAGAAAGGACTAGCCGGGAATGGCCCGGGTTGCCTGATACTGCCCTAGGCAGGGAATCCGGACATTGGGGGAGAGCCCTGCATCTCCGAGGGCTACGCAGGGGGCGGACTCGGGCCAAAGCCGGCCCGAAGCCTCCCGGAGCCCTCGGTCTCAGGCGGGCCACAAACTGGCCTGCACTGCAGCACAGACACCCCTTAGCCTTGCCTGGGGACAAGAGGCCTGGCTGTGAGCCGCTGCCCGACCGGCCCTTCCGCTTCCAGGTCTGCTGTGCCTCCGTGGAGCCTGAGCTGCCCACGGGGGCCTTTCTCGGTTCTCCGGACTCCCTTCCTTCCTTGGTGGAGCCTGCCTTGCCCGGCCCGTGTCCTCCCCACCTCGCCCCGTATTCTTTCGGCCTTTCCCCGGTTCTCTTCACCCTACATCCACCTCTCTTGGCCTCTCAGTGGGGCGGGCGTGCCTTCCTGTCCCGCCTGCCTTCTGGGTCCCTCCGGTTCCCTTGATGAAGCTCGGCCAGCCCTCGCTAGCTCCATAGGACAGCACCTGCCCGGCAATAAGATGACCGTGGGGAAGGGAGGCCTCCTTGTTCTAGCGGGACTGCAGTCCTGCCAGCCATCTTCCTGGGGCCCCCTTACCCTCCAGCCTGTGCTCTGCACTCCCGTGGGTTAGCAGGACCGGTTTGTTCGTTTTAAGTCCAACTTTGATGCAGCCTCACCGCTGAGTGTTGCCTCCAGCTGCCCTGTGGTTAATAATTCGTTTGAAGCGGGCAAAAACAAATTCATTTACAAGTAATGAAAATGGAAACATCTTTACAGGGTAAAGACTACACAGAGAAAACAGGAAGAACGATTTTGGGATTTGTGGGGTGCTGGGACATTTTTGCGAAGGGCTCAAACCTCCCCCTTGCTGTGGACCCACTGCCTGCCCATGGCCATTATGCCCACACATGAGAATAGACCTGCTTACTCCACCGATATTCTTTTCCTGAACACAGCAATGCTGATTTGATTGGGCAAATGCTCATCTTCCTATCTCGCTGCCTTTTCTTCTTGGTTTCCACTTTCCGTGAAACACACTGTGTGCACCTTGTAGCTTCGAACTTGTTCATTGAGAATCCCCAAATCTCAAAGGTGGTATAGGCCAGAGGAACACCAGCACAGAGTCTGAGGTGGGGTAGGTCCCCATTCCCAGACTGGGGGACACTGGCTTTGAAGCGGCTCATCCTAGGTGTGGCTTAAGTGTGAGGCTTCGCAGCTAGGGAGGAGAATTTTGTGCTGGTTGGCGCTGGCTGGGCGCTAGCCCTGGGCCAGCAGCAGGGGATGCCAGGGGTGTCTCCCCCAGGAGGAGCAGCGCCTGAGCTCATCTGGCCCCCTATTCTTTTCCCCGCAGCGGTGTTGAAGGCCGAGCAAGCGGCGGTGTTTAAGTTCCCGCTGGCGCCACTTGGCTGTTCCGGGCTGGGCTCCGCGCTGCTGGCCGCTGGGCCTGGGCTACCCAGCGTTGCAGGCGCACCGCACCTGCCTCTGGAGCTGCAGCTCCGTGGGAAGCTAGAGGCACCGGGCACGGGGGAGCCAGGCACCAAAGCCAAGAAGGGGCGTCGGAGCCGCACCGTGTTCACCGAGCTGCAGCTGATGGGCCTAGAGAAACGCTTCGAGAAGCAGAAGTACCTCTCCACCCCGGACAGGTAGCGTGGGGCCAGGCCTACCTAGCTCAGCGGGCAGTTGGGAGGAGGTGCTGCTCGCCCTGCTGAGGGTGCGCCTTGCTTCTTCCAGAATAGATCTCGCCGAGTCGCTGGGCCTGAGCCAGTTGCAGGTGAAGACTTGGTACCAGAATCGGAGGATGAAGTGGAAGAAAATAGTGAGTGTTCGATGGCTTCTTCGTTGTTGCTGTCGGTTGCCGCCAGGCCCCTGAGCTCTTCAGGAGCCGCTTTCTGCCCCGCCCCACCCCCCAAGCCTTTCGGGCCTGGTGCCCAAAGGGACCCTCTCTGCCCTCTCTCTCCCTCTGGGTGCCCTCGCGCAGCCCACATTTCTTTGTGCCCCGCTGCACCCTCTGCTTCCTGGCAGTCTTGAACTCCCGGCCCAGCTTCTGGTCGGTTTCCCCCAGCCGCGCTCAAATGGCCGCCATTTCCCTTAGTTAGAGGTGGCCTCGGATGGCCAGTCGGCCCTTCAGGTTCTTTCCAGCACAGGGCGCAGGGCACTGTGTCCCGGCTCACCCGTTTCCATGCCCTTGCGCAGGTGTTGCAAGGCGGTGGTCTGGAGTCCCCTACCAAGCCCAAAGGGCGGCCCAAGAAGAACTCCATCCCCACCAGTGAGCAGCTCACTGAGCAGGAACGAGCCAAGGAGGCTGAGAAGCCGGCGGAGCCGCTGGGGGAGGCCAGTGACAAGGGCCGCGAGGACTGAGTGTGCAGTCCCGGGACCCCCTGCGCCACCGCGGCCCCCCTCAGTCCGGGAGAAGCGCGAGCCGGCCCTTCTGCCTCCACGCTGTCTGCTTTGTAAAGGTTTTATTATTACCTTGAATGTGGACAGTTAGGGGCCAAAGAAGGAAGGACACAGACCCTGAAGCTAACCCGGGCCCCAGTGCGCCCGTAGCCTGGACACACCCCGGCGGCCGAAAGTCGCCTGTGCCCAGAGCTCCTGGCACCAGGCGCGCCATGCACATTCATGCCCCTTTCCTTACCGCACCCCACCCGCCTCGGACGTCTCTCGGCCGGGAGGCCTCAGGCACACACCAGCTTCCGAGCTTCCGGGACCCTGTGGCTGCACAGGCCCCCATGGCCAGAGACCCCCTACGGACAACCTGGCAGCTCAGCCCTGAGGCAGGGTCCCCAGCGTTGTTGGGGTCCCCACCCCTCTCTTGCGAAGACAGTGATTTTTTTTTTCAATAAAATATTTTATGACACAACGGGTCTACATTAGGGGTTTCTGAGTACGCGCGGGGGGTGGGGTAGGGTGGAGTTGAGTTGAGAGATATTATCAGTGGCTTCGGAAATATTCTTTCCTGGATCATGTAGAAGGACCCCTGACCTGCGCCACTGGGCCCACGCTGAGCATGGATGGCTGTGGCTCCGGTTGCAGGATCCTCAGAATCTCTTCCCTCTGGGCTGCAGGGTTGGTCTGAACTGCTCAGCCCAGAGTGCTCAGGCGTAGCAGCCAGGCTTTATAGGGGTCCCGTCAGTCAAAAGAGCAGGAGCCCCAGGCCACCTCGGGGTTCACTCAGGAAGTGGTGGGGCCTGATAGCCTCCTCGGTTTCTTGTTTGGTGTCCTAAGACTTTAAGGACCGTTTGTGGTGCTGCTGGCCGGCCCTTCCTGAGGCCAATGGGGAGCCGAGGACTTGAGGTTCACACAGAGGACACACCAGCGGCAGCTCCAGCCCAGAAGCGACAGCCTCCGAGTTTTCGTGTTCTCCAGAGGCGCACTCTGGGTGGCAGCCCCTGGCGGGAGAGCCTTGGGGCAGTGAGGGCTGCTAACTGGAGCTGAGGACTGCAAGCTGACTGAGCTCCTGTGAGGGCAGGCGTTCCAGGGGCACATCTTCCTGGGGTCTGGCCCGGGGCACCCCCTCCTTGCAGGAAGGCTTCAGATGCCTTATTTTGGGTCTAAGCTGGGCTGGGGGCTCACATGTGGGTGGGATCCTTGCTCTTCCTACTAAGACAACGGCCACAGGATGGGTTTGGGAGATGACCACTTTCCTTTTTAAAGTTGGGGGAGAGACCTACAGAGTTCCAAGCAGGATAAGGATTTGAAACCGTGTCCTTCCAGGTGGCAAATACTCAGAAAAGAGGAACATCATGCTCAGATGCAGGCTTTGCGTTTCCAAAGAACATAAGAACAACTATGGCTTCTACCTGTAGTGGGCATGGCTTCCTTTTCTAATCGTGGCTTGACTTACCCTTCCTGGAACCTGCACTTGAATTGCTGGTGCCCAGGCACCTCAGAGTTTGACTTAAAACCAGGAGGAGTGAAATCCAGGATGCTTCCTGCTGCCCCGGGTCCACTCAATGAAGTGGTCCTCAGTCCTCTGGGAATCTTTCTGCCCAAGGACCAGGCTAGCCAAGTGAGGCACACTGCTGCACTTAATCCTCTCTACTGCAGACAGGAGGGGAGTGAAGGTCCTAGAAGTTCTGTCTGGGCTGCACCTGGAGGACGGAGATTCCAGCTACAGCCTTTGTCAACCATGCAGCGTAGTCGAAGGAAGGAGGGTCACAAAAGGAGAGAGGAGGGATTCTGACCCACATTCCCCCCAGACCATTCCAAGTCTCAGGTTTTACTAAGTCTGAGGAACTTCACCTTATGCAGATTGCCCTGTGGTTCCACTGCTTTTCCCCAACAGAACCTCCTCACTGGACTGGACTAATCAGCTGCCAAGGAGAGGGCTTTAAGAGGGGACGTCAAGCAAATCCCACAACAGAGCATAGCGGCTGCAATGTTCCAGCAAACACAGCCTGCCAGGCACAGATAGGAAACCTGAGGCAGGCACGGTTGCCCCAACACCAGCTGATCAGTGGGGGAGCTGGGCCCTCCACAAGAAGCCTAGATTCCAGTGCTGGCGGGGTGGGAGTGGTTTCTGTCACCACCCGAGCTCCTTGTGGACAAGGCAACCACGGCAGACCGAGTCCGTGAGACTCCGCAGAAGCTCTGGCCCGCTACTGGGAGAGCGAAGGTGCGGAGGTAAAGGATGTGCCCCCGCATGCCGAATTCCAAAGCGAGGACCGCAGCCCTCACAGCCACACCTCTAGGTACAGGATTGTCTCCCATCCACGGAGGCGAAGCCTTGTGCCCGGCCTGAGTATTACCTGCCCCGGCCACCCAGCTCTGGCCACCCAAGCCACCAGCACATAAGGCCTCATTCCCCTCCGCCAGCAACCTCTCCCCTCAGTCCAGGTCCCAGGCTTAGGGGAGAGAAAGTCCCCTTGGCCGCTCTCCCGCAACTCACATCTCTTCTCCCACCCAGGATCCCGGGGAAACGAAACCCGAGACTGCTCCAGTAAGCGAACGAGTTCGCCGCAGCGCCTTGCCTCCGGAGCCCATGGCCGGCGGGGGTTGGGGGGTGTGGGAGTGACTTTAGGTGTTTTGCAAAAGCCTTGGACTTGGGGTGAGTGGAGGGTGCGCGGGGGTGGCCAGGACCCTCCCGACGTTAAGAGCCAGGGCGGCAAATGTGCTGAGCACCAGGTTTAGCTTGGCAGCAGGGCCACGAACACGCGCGAAGTTTACACTTGGGGAAGGGGTTGGGGGGGCTTAGGGGAGAATTTAGGGGAGGGTAGGCTAAAGGGAGGGGATAGAGGATTGCATCCGGAGCCGGTGCCCCCGAACCTGACCAAGGCGATGGAAGAGGGACCCTAGTTCTGGTGCCTTTCGACTGGAGCCGGCACTCAGGAAGGTTTGGAGAGAGGCGGGCGGGAAACGGGGGGCCTGGGATCTGAAGTTTATCTGAGTCTCCGACTTGTGGCTGGTTCCTCGGGGCGTGGGTACGGACAGAATGTGACAAGCGCAGCCAGACGCGGAGGTGGGGGGGGCATCCCTCCCCCTGCCTTCCCACTCTGTAAAAAGTAAAGGTTACTTTGGTTTCCCTTCTCCTGGTCTGGATTCTCCTGGAAGGTCAATGGTGGAAACCCATAAGGTCGAAGGGGAGAACCGTGGCCCCAGGGTACATTCACCACATCTGCTGGGGCAGAGGGACCTCTCTTACTGTACCTATGAAGAGACCGAGGCAGCCCAAGCCTCTCAACCTGGCACCCTCCCGGAGCTGCAGGTTCTGAGGAGAAACTTGGCACCTCTTCCATTTTCTTTGCCCTGCTGCCTGATTTCTTTCTGCACTGGAGAGGAACCCCTGGTCCAAAATGATATCCTTGATTGAGTTCCCTTGTCCAGAGAGAGGACCAGTTGATCCCCTGAGCCTCTGCCCTCAAGGCCTCTCCCTGCCCAGGTTTCCAGGGGCCAAAGCCAGGCTAAGGAGCCCATGGGCCCTACAGCTCAGCCTGGCCCAGGCTCTGAGACCTGAAGGAAACTTCTCAAACCACCTGCCCATCCCCACTTTAAGGCTGTAAAAGAGGTGCAGATCCTCACTCCCTGCTGGTGGGTGGGCCCCAAAAATGGCTACAGTGACAAGGCCTTGCAGGCTGTGTCGGCCTGACTCTGGGCCAAGCTCGCACACTCAGTGCAGAAGGTGGGTTCACCTTCTGTTTGAAGTAAGGCCTGGTGAAGGCACCTGAGCTGGCAGGGCCTTCCATTCTGACTGCTCCCTGACTTTGCAATGGGCCTCTCACTCGTGTGACTTCAAAAGTTCCCTTTGTCCTAGTTCTCACATTGTATTACTGAATATCATCAGCTTTAAGACCTCTTTTTCTGGTTTCTTAAATTTTGGTTCATGTGGCAGTTTGTGAGGGAGGTCCCAGGCATTGTGGGTCTTGTGCCTGCAGCACGTGGCTGTCCCTGAGGGAGGGGTTCCAGACAGGACAAAGGTGGTTCTGGGCACAAAGCCTAGATGGAGAAAGCCAAGAAGTCTGCAAGGGAGACAGGATCTTCCTCTAGGTGCAGAAAGACAAGGGGCCGCGGCATGGAGAGAACTTGGCTGGTTCACCTGTGAGGCAGTGGTCAACTGGGATGGCGCTGTGGAATGCTGGGGGGGTCCTTCCAGAGTAAACTGAGACCTCCAGGAAGTTTTAGGGACACCTTAACCCACTGAGTTCCCTGATAATTTCCTTTTTATGTAAATTCAGCAGTGGTCTGTAATAAACATGTATCCAAATAAGCCAAAAAGAGATAGATAAGCACTGGGTCAGGGCTTCAATGGCAATGTTTTTAAATTTTTCCTTTTTTGTGCTTCAGGAAATAATGATGTCTGACATCAGTGGCATCACAGACTTTAATATCAATCGAACCTTTACTGGTCCATTCATTCACTTAACAAACACTTACTGAGTGTGGCAGGCAGATCACAATGCTGAGACACAGTCCCTGCCTTGCCTCCTTGATCCAGTAATGGCCAGTAAGGGAGGTGCCCTCCTCCCACTTTTCAGGTGAAAATAAAACTCAGAGATATGAGGCAACTTGCCTAGGGACACACAACTATTAACTGCAGAATTTGGGTTTGATTTCAGCTCTAGGGGTCTCCACTGTCCTTTAACCAATAGCCTCAAGGTTCACTTTGGGGTGTGGTGTCCCAGATGTCTCAGGGTCCCCCATGGCCTCTGCCTGTCTGTAATCCATTTGTTCACCAAGTATTCATTAAATACCTGCTTTGTGCCAGGCACTGTGCTAAGCATGGGGGACACAGCCTCTGACCCAAGGTGCTCACGCTGGAAGTGAGAAGGCTTAGATAGATAGCAAAGAAGCCACAATTAATCCAAATGATGATTTCAGGGATTAACAAATGCTATGTAGAAAATAAAGCAGGCGGCAGACAATGAGTGAATAGGGGCTTTAGTCAGGGTGG